CCACTACCAGTTTGGTGATTTCCACACACCAGCTGAGGCCTGCAGCGCCAATCAGCTGAGAGGATAAAGAAGAGAAGAGCGCAGGGGCAGGTGGGAGGGCCGATCCTGCACGTTTCTCTTGTTCCTCCTCTCAGCTGATCCTCAGAGGCTTTTTTTTACTACCAGTTCAGTTGAACCGGTCTGAACCGGTAGCAAAGCACCCCGGCAGAAATGATGAAAGTTCATTCTCCAAGTCTTTAAAACAAAAAAAGAGAGAGAAGACCACATCGCAAGAAGATAAAAGAGGCTGTTGTGTACATAAAATTGCTCTTCAGCAACGTAATTTCAATCATGGTCTTCAGAGCTATGCTGGATTCTTGATCCCGGGGTCATGAAGTCCCCAGGTCTTCCATCAAGCGCTCAAGCCCGCCACAGATAAATGAGGCCACAGCATGTCCTCTTTCCTTCCCACAGCGTAACAGTTATTTAAAATACATTAAATTTTTGCCTGTCGTCTAGAGATGACCTTTTCCAATAGGCCCAACTCAAGATTAAAAGCAACAAAGGGAATAGAAGCTTGGCTTCCTCACAATGCTCTTTGCAAAATATCACACCCAATAAAGGACTCAGAAGGGATAAGATTGATAGTCTTTCTGCATCAGATGCCAAAAAGAACGATTTACGAAATTAAAGGGTAATTAAATTCTCGTCAGACCCTGGCTTTGGTGAGGTACTGTTAGCTGCATAAAAGAATGATTCCCTCCAGCTCTGATTGTAGACCAGAAAAGGGCATTTAAGATGTCATTTGTCTAAAGCCTTGGCACCTGCTAAAATTTAGAGGGGGGAAAAAATTCTACAAGGACCAAAAAATATTCTGCCCTTTCTCCTGCACTAGAACTGCCCCTCTCAACGTTATGTCTTCAGCTAGGGATGTTTAATGAGGGGGTCAAAGATGACGTAAAAATAGGCGGGGCTATAGAAAACAGTGGTCCTAGTGGTTGGAATGCTGGGCAGGAGGTTAGCAAGCCCGTATTCGAGACCCGAGAATTGGTGTGAGGCATGGTTGAGCTCTTGTCTTTCACTCCAGCTCCTTCCGTGGACAGGAAAGTCACCCTCAGCTGAGTGTCCCCAGAGCAATGGTGATGTTACCGGCTTTCAAGCCGGAAGGGCCTTGGTCAGAGGTGGTACTCAGCAGGTTCTGACCAGTTCTGGAGAACCGGTAGTGGAAATTGTGAGTAGTTTGGAGAACCGGCAAATATCACCTCTGACTGGCTCCGCCCCCATCTATTCTCTGCCTTCCGAGTCCCAGATGATTGGCTGGGTCTTCTTTGGTTGCCCTGCCCAGGAGAACGGAGCTGGAAAGCAGGTTAGTGGGGTGGGGAGGGACTGTGGATTTTGCAATATCCTTCCACTGCCACGCCCACCAAGCCCCATGCACCAAGCTACACCGCACCCACCAAGCCATGCCCACCGAACTGGTAGCAAAAAATATTTGAATCCCACCACTGGCCTTGGTGTTTCTGACTTGAGTGCACTCAGGTGGAGCTGAGACCTCATGGTTTATGCTGGCTTTTGACCATAATAAAAGATTTGGTTTAATTTGGTTATAGCCACCATCTTGATTTTTTTGACCTCGTCCCGTGGATACTCCTACCTTCAGGAGAGAAGCAACCTGGAATTGAGGAGAAACTTCTTAACAGTGAGGACAATTAACCAGTGGAGCACCTTGCCTTCAGAAGTCATAGGTGCTTCATCACTGGACGCTTTTAAGAAAAGACTGGACAGCCACTTGGCTAGAATGATAAGCAGTGGAATAACTTGCCTTCAGAAGTTGTGGCTGCTCCAACACTGGAGAGTTTAAAGAAGAGATTGGACAACCACTTGTCTGAAATGGTATAGGGCAGCGCTGGTGAATGAACACTGTGTTGGCCATCACTGAAGGCTTTCAAAAAAATAAGGACTGGTCAACTGTTTTCTGGAATGATACAGAATCCCCTGGTCAAGTCAGGAGTTGGACTAGAAAACTTCTGAGGTTCCTTCCAACTCTGTTATTCTATGTTCTAAATACCTGATACCAGGTGTTGCTGACCTTAAGCAGAAAGACATAGGTTTGGGAATGGTAACTTGGTCAAGATCTCTGCAATGTGGATTCAGAGAATAAATACTGGGGTTTTTTTGGATGGCTGAAAAACGAATGGAACTTTTGTGGAGGTCATAAAGAGATTGTCACGAGTTACGGTTAGGTTTTAAGAATGCTCTGAGGTATTTCTTGAATCCTTTTATAACAGTAATATGCTCCCTCTAACGCTGTCTGCCCTTGAGTGCTGGAGAACAATTGGCAGGCAGAAAGTGACTTAGAGCTCTTTGTTAACTTCAAGGACATATGTCAAAATAAAGAGCAAAAGGCTACTTAAATCTCAAACCCATTCTTTTCAGCTCAATTTCTTTTTTTCTGCAATTTTATTTTTCATCTCCAGCCTCTCCCCAGGTTAGGTTAGCAAAATGCAAGATGCCAGTTTGCATATCAGTCCTACTTTTAAATGCACATCAGAGTTGACAGTTGAACAAAATATGCAATATATTTTACAAGAATTGAACCTCGAATTGAGGCTTCTTGGATCTTGCTGTGGTGCTAACAGTTCACAAGGTGTTTTTTTTTTTCAAAAGGCAATTGGACTTCATTTTTCCTTGAAGACATTTTACTTCTCACCCAAGAAGCTTCTTCAGTTCTGACTGAATGGTGGGGAAGGAAAGGATTTATAATCCTTGCAGACAGTTGGTCATTTGCATTCTTTTAGACAGTTGTTGAAGCTACTTAGAGGTTTCTCTGTGCCCCCAGGGTCACCAGAGTAGTGCAAATGACTGTGGAATACCTCCTCCTATTTACCTCACAACAACAACCTTGTGAGGTGGGTTGGGCTGAAAGAGAAATGACTGACCCAAAGTCACTCAGCTGTCTTTCATGCATAAGGCAGGACTAAAACTCACCGTCTGCTGGAGATTGGCCCAAAATCACCCAATCATCTTTCATGGCTAAGGCGGGACCTGAACTCACTGTCTCCTGGAGATTGGCCCAAAGTCACCCAGCTGACTTTTATGGCTAAGGCGGGACTAAAACTCTCTGTCTACTGGTGATTGGCCCAAAGTCACCCAGCCGTCTTTCATGGCTAAGGCGGGACCAGAACTCACTGTCTCCTGGGGATTGGCCCAAAGTCACCAGCTGTCTTTCATGGCTAAGGCGAGATTAGAACTTTTCAGAACAGAAGAAGCTTCTTGGATGAGAAGCAAAATGTCTTCAAAGAAAAACCGGAAAGTCCAGTTGTCTTTTGAGAAGAAAAAAAAGCACCTTTAGGACAACCATGACCTGGAGGACTGAGAATCTCCATAAACATTCCCACTCTACAAGCAACTCTGGCTTCTTGTTCTGCCTTAGATACCTTCAACTAAAGTAGATACTTGTCCCAGCTCTTAAGTCGTGAGAGTCGTAAAATGGATCGGTTACGTGACCAACCTGATCTTATGAACTTTTTTTTTTTGCAGTGATCATTAAGGAAATATGATGGATGTAAAGCAGTCATTACAGTCTTTCAGTGAACCAATGGTTCAACACGGACGTGGTTTTGCTGAAAACTGAACGTAAATGCTGATTTTTGGCACAAGTATCTTAAAATGCAGTCAGATCACCGCCGACCTCTGCAAATGGTCATAAATGCAGCCTGGTTGCTAACCATCAGAAGTTCAGTCATGTGACTGTGGGGGAGGATTGACTAGAGCAACTTCAAATGGTTGTTAAACATTGTTAAGCATCATAAGTCGAGGACTAACTGTTTAGATTTCTCGCTGTTTCTTTTTCAGACTTCCCCTAATCCCTATAATTTCTGGATTTTGTCTGTTATTTCTGTTCAACCCTTCCAAAGTCAATATAAATAATGAAGGGGATAGCAGACATCCTTGTCTTGTTCCTTCCTTTATATTAAACTTCTCTGTGTAGTTCCTGTTTACAATTACTTTAGTTGTTTTTTATGATATATCGTCTTAATTACATTTATGAATTCTTTTCCAAAGTCCATACAGTTTAGTTGAAGAATCATAAATTACCAACTTACATTATCAAAAGCCTTCTTGGTGTCTAAGAAGATTACTGACATTTGTTTTCCTGGATGTGTTTCATAGTACTTTAATGTGTCTAAAATGATCCTTAAATTGTGCTTTATTTGTCTTTTTGGTAAGAAACAATTTTGATCTAGGTGGATAATCCCTAATGATGCCAGATAACAATGTTGTAACCAGGTTGACCATGCACACATTTTCTGTCCAGATGTACCTGTTGTTTTGTGTCTGTGTGTGTGTTTCACTCTCACACACACACAAACAGCCAAAACAACTCAGGGAATTTCATCTTTTCAGAGCAGAATTTGGAAAGCTGAACGGATGGGTGATTTCTGGCTGCTAGTCAGCTGAGCTGACTGTTTCCATTCGTGTCTCAACAGTGTGAATCTTATTTGTTAAAACTTGAATGTTTGTTGCAGCCTGTGTGTGTGTGTGTGTGTGTGTGTGTATGTGTGTGGGAGAACCAGTGCCATGATTGGATAGTAATGTTTAATTAGTTTACAATATGATTTTCTTCTTAAAAAACGGTCAAACACCCTTCCCTGCTTTCACTCTTAACAAAACGTTTCTTTCTTTCTTTCTTTCTTTCTTTCTTTCTTTCTTTCTTTCTTTCTTTCTTTCTTTCTTTCTTTCTTTCTTTCTTTCTTTCTCTCTCTCTCTCTCTCTCTCTCTCTC